TTCAAACCATTTTGGATGCAATCGAGTTTGTAAAGATTTTTTTCATGGTCTTTTCTATTGAATATTCATGATAGGTCTTATATTGTTCTACTTTTGGATACCATCGCTTTGGATATGTCCAAAATCTTGAAGCTTGAGAACTTCCCTCTGAGCTAAACCCCGTTACAAATCCAACCCTATACCCAACCGCTAAATGCTCAAGCTAAATATTGCCCGGGTTCGCAGACTGCAAGGAAGCCATTTGAAAAAAACAACATGTCTAATTATCCTTTGAACAGCCGATCAGCTCCCAAACTGCTTGTGCATCAATGGGTATAATCACCAAAGAGAAACAAAATCAGCTCCATTGTACTGAAGCCTGGTGCGGGCTGTCCCACCCCGAGCCCACCCACAGCCCAGACACGAGGCTCTGCGGTGGGGGGAAAAAAGTCACAGATCTGGGGCACGTTTGGAACTAGATTTTGGCTAATGTAAGTTAATATCCTTGTTATGAAGCCATTGTAAAGCTAGGATTGGGTATTGTAAGACAGTGTAAGAGTTCTAATCAAACAGACTATAGTGTGGCAGGGTGGTTAACGTTTAGGGGCTGAATGTTCTTGTTGGGTCTGGTCAAGGTGTGTATGAGTATAGAAGAAAGCGCTAATCCACGGCTTTTGGGAATTCGAGGTGAATTTTAAATGAACTGATCCATCGCAATACCGATTCAAGTCAAAAAACGTGGGTGAAAATGACGGGTGTAGAATTTAACAATGGAGGAAAGTGTTTGCAAGTTAATATGACTGCAGTGTTCATTTTGGGAGCATTTTGTTGTTTTGTTTTAGTGTTGGTCTTTCATATAGAGTTATATCTATATATTAGTTTTACTCAGTGGTGTAGTGGAGATTTTTTTTAAGTGTGGGTACGCAAATCGGGACGTCATTGATGTTATTAACATTAACGCCATTTATAATCACCTGCCATTACTGAACCAGGACTGAACCAGGACTGAACCAGGACTACACCAGGACTGAACCAGGACTAACCAGGACTACACCAGGACTGAACCAGACTACACCAGAACTGAACCAATAGACCAGGACTACACCAGGACTGAACCAGGACTACACCAGGACTGAACCAGGACTGAACCAGGACTGAACAGGACTAGACCAGGACTGAACCAGGACTGAACCAGGACCACACAAGAACTACACCATGTCTAAACTAGGACTAAACCAGGACTAAACCAGTTCTAAACTAGGACTACACCAGGACTAAACCAGTTCTAAACTAGGACTAAACCAGGACTACACCAGGTCTAAACTAGGTCTAAACTAGGAATAAACCAGAACTAGACCAGGACTAAACCAGGTCTAAACTAGGACTAAACCAGGACCACACCAGGTCTAAACCAGGACTAAACCAGGAGCTCTGAGGTGGTTCTTTCACCCGCGGTCACCCGATTGTCTACGCGGGCGCACCTCCAAGCCCGTCCCAAGACCCAATCCTGGTTCCGTTCTGGTTCCGTTCTGGTTTAGACCTGGTTTAGACCTAGTCCTTGTTCAGATGGATGGCAGAGGCCTACATAACTATGGGAGATTCACTGATTTTGGAAGAAATAGCCAAACTTATGTTAAACTACATCATTATTTGTACTTATAAGAGCTTCACAAACTTGCCAGATTGATTTTAGGGCTTGAAGGACTTTCAACGGACAATGATCACATCTTTGGCGTCGGAAAACGGCACCACTTTCCATAGGTGCTGTGATTTTTTCTTTCTTTCTTTTTTATTTATCCAGACAGAGAAGACATTGAACTTCATGCCAGTTTTTGTTTCAAGTGGATAGGCCCAGGAATTACAGAGATATGAACGACAAACGAGATTAACAAATCTAAAATCTGACGATGAAAGTGCAAATTCCTCCATAAAATTCTGACCTTGAACTTGATTCTCCAACGCTATGAGGTCACATAAACACAACCTGCCAAACCTACCAACCTTGGCTAACAATGCGCTTCCAAAAGAGCCACCGATCGCCTTGACTAACAAACCAGAACAAAACAGGCGGTATATTCTAAGTGGGATTTTCATACTGAATGGAAAAGGGTTGAAAAGGGTTGAGTGGTCACAGTAGCTAAGCCCCCGTACTTCAAGCTGCTTAGCCTCCATGCTTTGTCGCCACATGCCAGCTCCAGTCTGGGTGCCCCCTCCGTCTGCACACATGACCCTCTCCAGCGAACACACAACCACCACCGCCGCGAAGGGCCCCGGCTCCAGAACATGCCCACGATCGAGTCTTGTGTTTGGGGTTAAGCTTGTCAGGTCAGCGTCTGTTCCGGTTGGTGAGCAAAGGTGGGAAGTATTTACGTTTACTTGAGTAAGAAGCAAAAAAAAAAAAAAAAAAGTACTTCTTGGAGTAGCTTTTGGACTGCATGCGTTTACTTGAGTAATATTTAGATTGAAGTGTCTACTCTTACTTGAGTAATGATGTTAGTTTGTCTTCCCAAGACTAATTCACTTTTTTATGATTTAAACTTTTATTTTTCTTGTACCACTCCTTCAGATATAATTTTTGTCTGAAATGTCAAATCTTGAGTCAATATTTAAGATTATGTCCTTGAATTTTGATTTTATGTGTAGACAGTTACTCTTACAATTACTTTTACTTGAGTAGTAGTTTTCCCAAACAATTTCTACTTTCTCTGTGATTTTCCTAAACTCTTACTTCAGTGGAAAAAAAAAAAAAATATATATATATATATATATATATCTTACTGAATTAAAATGACTTAAATTAACAACATTTACCTTTATTTGAGTCGATTCAACTTGACAAGTAAAACTATCTACCAAAGGAATAAAAGTGTTTTACTTAATTCAAGCGACATTAGATTTTGTTTCTTATTTTAAGTGCAAAAAAAAGTTCTTGTTTTTCTATCTTAAGTGTGTCAAGATGTATTTTCAAATTTTAAGTGCAAAAAGTCTTGTTCCATTGGTAGATCATTTTACTTGTCAAGTGAAATTTACTCAAATCATGAAAAACTTTCTTAACTCAAGTCATCTTAACTTGACTAGATTTAGTTTTATGAAGTGTTGAGTATATTTTTTGGCTAATTTACCCACCTCAAACGTTTATTAGGTCAAAATTCTATAGTAAGGATACTTGGTTTTGAAAAGAAGTAAGTAACATTAGGGGTACTTTGTCATTGGACATTTGGGAGTAGTAAATATATTTCGCTTTGCAAATTTTAAAGAGTCAAAAGTATCTTAAATTTGTAGGCGTCAGTGAAAGCGGGACTGAACTTGGACTAAATCAGGACTAAACCAGGTCCAAAATGTGGAATCAAGGGGTTTGGCAAGGTTGTCCATGTAGTCGTCTAATGTTCAAAAGTTTGGCGACTCAGTCTTAGCTCCGATTTGCGCGTACTGCTGATATGTCCTTGAGCAAGACACTCCTTAGTCTTAATGTGAAGTGTGATTGTCGGTGGTTGGAAGTCTTTGGCGCAGATTGGTAGCCAGGCTTCTTTCATTTAGTCCCAGGGCAGATGTGTACAGCAGTATCTACCATCATTGAGTGTATATGGAGTTAGTGGACAATGCAATGTTTTGAGGACTTTGAGGGTTCCAAAAACAGTTAAACGATGCATTATTAGGCTATTATTATATAAATCAAGCTAATCAGGACAAATGTACCACAGTTTTCAAACCGTTATTTAACAATTGGCAGTGTAACGGTCAAAAAAGTACCAAGAACTGCAGGATTCCATGACCAGTTCTAAAAAGTTGAAGGTTTTGGTCAAGTGCTAATAGTGGCATAATAATGAATCATCGCAAAAAAGAAAACATTAAATATAAAAATGAGTTATTAAAGGTGTACTGTGTAACTTTTCTGGTGGAGGGTCTCCCATAAAGAAGTGCGATGTCACCCATAGCGTTCAGCTCCAGTCAAATAAAGCTCATTGAGGCCGCGGTTATAGAGGCAACTTTGGAGTCGAAACCTATATTTTGGAACTTCGACAGCAAATATCGTAGTAACCAAAGAGCCAACTGGGAGAGAGACGGTTGAAGGTAATGCCCCTTTTCTGGCCGCAATGCTGGTTTAGTATGTAGCAGCTCTCAGCAATACTGTCAATCAAACCACCAAATCATTTTGTAAGTGTTTGTTAGTCGGGCTGCCGCCACCTAGTGCCTTCACTCAATTTCATTTCTCTCCAGCAACTAGCTTAGGAATCGGAATACACTAGATAGTTTACAAGAACCCTGAAAGTGTGAGTCTGGGCATCAGCCAATCAGCGAAGAGTCAGACATTCAGAGATCAAGGATTTAAAGCCGGAACAAAGAGAATGTCTGTTGAATTTTGTCAAGAGGAAAGGCGTTATTGTATTTCTTCCTTATGGGATTTGGGAAAAACCTCATTAGCGGCACATTAAATATGTCACGACCAAATAGCAACGATTGGTTAAATTAAAAAAAGTACCTGACTACTGTCGAGCGAACGAATCCTAATGCTGTGAGGTCAGACGGTTTCCATGAAGTGAAACCAGCTTATGAACCAGGCTAGGTATTTGTATGTCAAAAGAAACCAAAAAAAAAACACTACTTGGTCCTGTTAAGTGCTTGTGTCCATAGAGATAGGTTCAACAAAACAATCGTATCCACGGATCCTCCAATAGAAAAGCTACACAGTGCCACTTTAACATTTAGTATGGCTATGGCACTAGTGGTTGACAATAAAATCGTACAATAAAAATAAAGAAAACATGAAAATTCGTTATCATGCAATCCAAGCATGCTGAAAGTGTCATATTTAACCAATGATAATATATTCTGCTGACTGGCTTATAAGGCACTTGCACATTAAAAATCATGACGCTAAAACTGTTGCTTTTTGATACTTAAGCCGTAAAGGATCACAGTTCTTTAAAAAAAATCTTTAAATATTAAAATCTCATATAAACCATACAATTCCAACCAATTATAAAACTTTGTTCCCTATGCGATTTCACGTGTAGTTACTGTCACGAAAAGAATGGCCTCCCTTTCTCCAAGCTGTGGCTGTTGAGCTTGGCGATTTGGCGCGGCGAAGGCGGGACGTCCTGCCGGTAGGGGCCCTTGGATGTGGTCGTGGCGGCGGCAACGGGCGGCTGGTTGTTGGGGGGCGTGTCCTGTGATTGTGGGCGTGGCTTGTTGGCTTCCTGCTCCCTGCGCCGTTGCTCTTGCCGCAGCAGCTCCTGGGTCTCTAGCAGCACGCGGGCGTTGAAGTTGGACCCCCCCAGGTAGCCGTTGCGGGGGGCCGGGCTGGAGGAGTAGCGGGGGTCTTTGTGCTGGTGTTCCCATGGGTCCTGGGAGGCGGCGCTGGGGTGGAGACGGGGCTGCCTGGAGAGGGGGAAACACAGGGAGAGGGGTTAGAATCTTAGTATTGTCTGTCAAAATGGATACGAGTCTTTGTGATCCATGGACCAAGAATTTACATAATATAAATATATACCATAAATTATACAATAAAGCCTTCTGCCTGTGCATAAACTTATAACTAAATACAGCTCTGAATATTATGATACATCCCAGACAATTAGGAGATCAGTTATTTCATACTTGAATATTACAAGTTCTTAAGAGTTCTTAAAAGTTCTTACGAGTTCTTACGAGATCTTACAAGTTCTTAAGAGTTCTTGCTTGTGAATTAACTCGTATATACACCATATATAAATGTCTCGTACATAAAGGCATAGGACGATATTGAAATTTGGTGTTGCAATTATCATGGCCAAAATTTAGTTGACAGTTTAAAAATGTCATGGATATGAACAGTTATAATTTTAATGTTATGAAGAAGTTCCATGTTTAAACAACTAATATGTAATATGTATATAGATTTTAAATTAAAGACACGAGAATATAACATTTAACACAAGACACAAAAACATAAAACAATACCTACAACAAACACAAAACAACAAAACTCTCCACCCCCAACTCACCCCTTCCCCCAAACACATACACATTTAATTAAATAAAACATGTGTAATGTCGTATTGCAGCATAAACATACTGCTAGGGCCCATATATCATTTTTTTGATGAACACATTTAGTCACTATACTTAACTAATATTATTTTCATCATCATTTCCATTCATTATCTTTTTTTTTTTACTACAATATTAAAGCATAAATCTAAAGACATTTTCTTTTTCTTCCCTCCTTCTTTCTTTTCCATTATTATTATTATTATTATTATTATTATCATTGTTGTTGTTGTTATATAAATTACCTTTTTACTATTAATTATGAACTGTCTTTGTTTTAATGATTACCTATATTTCCATTATTAATTAATAATGGATAAAATATTAATATACAAAAATATTAAACATATAATTATACTTTGTTATAAGTGAAAAGAAACCAGGTAGTGAGGATCATGATGGCTTTTTTTTTTTTTTTTTTTTTTTACACATTTTGGTGATACAATGGCGATTATTTGTGTTGGTGATTATCAGGATTATATAAAATGCCCCATGAATGATTATTGTCCACCTTTTTTATCACAGTCAGTTATATTATTGTTTATTGTCCCATCCCCACTTGCATAATAAATAAAATGTTGGATTGATCAAATGTTTGCATGTAATGGTCAACCACTCAATTCAGATTTGTCGTGTGTTTGTGTGATTATCATTGTTGTACTACTTCAGTTTAACTCGGATGTGAAGTGGAAATCCATTGATCATCTTTCAGTTCACAAGTGGGAATCACCAGTTCGAGAAGTGTTCCAGGGCATTTTGTCAAGTCAGAGATTTGAAAAACCTCAGTTACCAGTTGCTTTGAACAGAATTAGTCACCACACTCGGGTTTGTGATAGTGTGAGAGTGACGGTTGGAGGGGCCCTTACCCACAGACACTTTTCTTTGAGTCAGTCCCAGCTTAGCACCAAGTCTCACAAGTTAATGAGTAATGCCCAATTATTGTAAAGCAATACTGAGCTAGAACAGGAGTCTCCAACCTGTAGCTCAGGAGCCACCAGCAGCTCTCCTCCCCCCTCCAAGTAGCTCGCCAAGACATTTTGGAATTACACGTATTGTCCTGAATAAGTAAAATGTAATAAATGGTTTATGTTTCATAAGTATCTAACTTAGGGTGATAAGTTAGAATAAAAATTTAAAAAACTGGGACACCCCTCAGTTTGTGGTGGTTGGTAATAATAAAATTGTGAATCGAATGCGTAATGAAGGAAAACTTTGCACTCGGCCCATTCACAACTAACATGAGTCAGTATAGTCACATTTTCTTTGTGTTTTGATCATTTTTCAGCTGATTTTCTGTATTTTACTTAAACAAATGGCAATTCATGCCTCTGCAGGGATTAAATTGGTCAAAAGTAGGGACACCTGGGACATTTTTTATATAAAACTGTGACAAATCAGTGGTTTTGGATAAATCTGCTGGGACAAGGGACACAAGGCTCAAAACTGGGACTGTCCTGGTAAATAGGGACGTCTGGTCACCCTAATCTAACTGTACCTCCTCTAAGGCTTGCTAAGGTACGGTATATATCTTTTATATACCGTACCTTACCTTATCCGGGCTATTAGTCACTCTGGATTATAAGACACACTGTCATTAAATGGTCTATTTTCAAACTTTTTTCCACAAATGAACTGCACTGGACTTTAAATGAAACACAACAGTGTGATGGGTGAGTGGTTTTGTTTGTTTGTGTTGTTCACGGTGACTCTGGGCTTTGTTCAGTTGTGGCGTGTAGGGAGGGTGTGTCTGGGACCAACGGATTGTCGGCGTGTTCGCAGTGACTCAGTTGTGTCTAGAAGCGGCACATTGCACTCCCTTTTTCGGTTCGTTCCTCCGTTCTGTTCCTCGTCGGCGTGAAGTGATGAGTGTGTCTGTGGGTGTTTTTCTCTGTGCAGTCGCTGTCTGCTCCGTGTGTGTTTGTGTGCGATGCAGTTGGTGCGACTTTGTAGTTTACTGAAGTCGTGCTGGGACACCCGAGTGGATTGGTGTATGGGGCGCTCTGGATTGTGGCGTGCAGTCATTTTTTGATGGGGTTGGAGGCTTAAGAGTGCGTATAATAGCCCGGAAAATACAATACAAAATTTCTTGTGACCGCTAAAACTCGTAACTCTCTGACATTTTTATTTTGTAAAGGTAGTTCACCAGAGGAAAAAGGTTGGAGACCCCTGAGCTAGAAAAACGCAAAATAACTTAAGACTAGGCAACGAGCGGAAACTCCACTATAACCTGCCCCCGTTTCAACCTTTTTGAACATTCTCATTGAAGTAAAGAAAGGGAAATCTTTATCCAGGTTACCACTTAGCTCTGATTACCCAAAAATAAAGTACGATTTCCCCCCACGGGCTTCTGCCTCGGTCCTATTGAAAGTAGATTCAAAAGACAGAACACATTAGCAGGACGTGCGACCACCTTTAGAGATATTTTCAGAGGAAGTTTAGCTGTTCTGACATAAAGACCATGTCACGCAAGCCTCCAGACACAGACAATCACAGTACGATTACTTCTACTCCGTAAACAAACTGAAATGTTACTTTAAAAATGCACCGTCCATTTAACTCCGGTTAGTGCTTTTATGTCGCTAATGGCTTCGGTGGCTGCACGTTGCCCTGTTGTGTCTGATATAATGTCTAGACAAGTTAAAATGGTCGGTTTGTTGGGTTTAATTTAGTGTATATATCTGGATTTTGTTGACTTTTGTTGTATGGTTTAGAATTTGTTAGAAATTCCCACAAATCGATTCTAAAGAGCCCTCTCCGGACCTTCCCAAGATGTCCGCTCTCCTCCGTACATGCTCTGGGCTGAAATTGGCCGTGAACGTGCGGACAGCGAAGTGGTGGCTCTAGCGGTCGTGTGTGTGTGTGTGTTTGGTTTCGTGGTACTCTGTTATCGAGATACATTTAGCTGTGACCAGTGACAGCGTGTTGGAGAAACGTCGTTCACGAGTCTTGGAGCGGGGCTGGAAAAGGCTTCGGAGATGGTGGACGAGGGAGTTTGGACGCAGAGTTGGGTGTTTTCACGATTATTCAAGTGGTGGATGAAGAAATGGATCTTAGAAGATACTAGAACATTGGAATATCATTACATTAAAATGTAAACTTGAATTCCTCTCAACAAACCAATACTAATACCGATACTACTGATACTAGCTGATACTATTATGGTATTAGTTGATATTGATATTTTCTGTATGGCCTTTTTCAACAGACTAATGGATATAAAAACAGCACAGAGCAGTGATGACAGCCAGAGACGAAATGCAGCTAAACGTCTGTCTCTCCTTATTGAAGGTGAGTGCAAGTTTGCCGAGTGTTTTGGAGCAGATTTTATTCACTGTTTTCCTCGTATGGGTAACATCAGCGCACACACGGGGCTCGTATGTCAGGCTTTGGTCCACCTCCTCCAATCGGGCCAAAGTCTCATCCATGCTGAGTCTGAGCACGGTTCGATCACGCTCACACTGGACAAATGTACTGCGGTTTAGGGGCGATCTATGCTTGGGCACGGTTCCAAAGTCCTAGTGTGAGTGCAACCTTAGAAAATGAAGAAAATGTGTTGGATTTTTAAACCTGTTTTTTCAAGTTCCTCACTGGAGTTGCATTCTCTTACTGGTTTTTGCAGTGGGATTTAGCCTCTGCACATTTACCAAATGAACATCGTGACAAATACAGATGCATTTGTGCACTTTTATTCAGAAAACTTCAACCATATGTCAGGATAAGAAGTTTATTGCAGCGGGCGTAATGAAATATGATCACATTCGTCGAGTGTTAGAGCTCAAGTCCGAGACAAGACCAAGTCCATGCTCCTTCAAGACCGAGACAAGACCGAGTCCAAGCCCCTTCAAGACCAAGACAAGACCGAGTCCAAACCCTATCAAGACTGAGACAAAACCGAGTCCAAACACAGTCGAGTTTGTGACAAGACTGAATCCAAGCCCCTTCAAGACCGAGACAAGACAAAGTCCAAACACGGTCAAGTCCAAGAAAAGACTGAGTCCAAGCCCCTTCAAGACCAAGACAAGACCGAGTCCAAACACGGTCGAGTCCGAGATAAGACTGAGTCCAAGCCCCTTCAAGACCAAGACAAGACCGAGTCCAAACACGGTCGAGTCCGAGATAAGACTGAGTCCAAGCCCCTTCAAGACCAAGACAAGACCAAGTCCAAACACGGTCGAGTCCGAGATAAGACTGAGTCCAAGCCCCTTCAAGACGGAGACAAGACCAAGTCCAAACGCGGTCAAGTCCGAGACAAGACCAAGACCGTAAAAAAATGGTCTTGTGGCCAGCCTCGAGACCAAGACGAGACTACACTTTGGTCAGCTCAAATAGTTTTAAACGGGCGATATAAA